ATATACAGGGTGAATCTCTCGCTGGAAGGGTCGAATGGCAACCGCCTGGTTTGTCGTTCAAGTGTCGCGAGCATAAACGTGTCATTGGCAGAGTTGGGCACAATTTTATTCGAATAATACATAGTTGAAAGCAACAGTATCTAAGGGCAACATTCTGATCTTTAAACAGTTAATTAGATTAAGTAATTATTTGTCAAATGATGATTCACTCAAGAAGAAATATTATTTTGTTATAAAAATTGGAATTTCCACGTGTAAACGATTGAAAATAACGAAGTGCTTTTTTATCTTTTATTCGTCATTCGAAACTTTTTAACTTTTAAACTAAACATAGCGAGAACGAACGAGAAAATTTCGGCGAGAATTCTCGGTCTGTCTCACAAGAGTAACCTATCAATGACACGCTTATGGTCGCGGCACCAGCGGCACTTCAACGACAAAGCAGGCGGCTTGCCTCTCAACCCCTCCAGCGTGAGATTTACCCTGTAATATCACGGTGGCCAAACTACTATACAAACTACTATACAATATTTTTTTATGAACTTCAACATTCTACATATTAGAGCTTTGACTTTATAAGATACTCCGGTACCCGGATACCCGTAAGATACCCGGGCGAACAAAAATTACCCGGGAATCCATGAGATATTCGACTATATCAGACAGTCAAGAATTTCGATTCGGAAATTAAGAAACCTCCTTAATGATTCCATCATATAGTATGCAGTTACTGTACGATGAACTTTTAAGATAAGTCAATAAACACCAAATGATAATTAAATAACAATACGTTCTAAGATTTCAAGTGGTAATATATGCTTCTATGAAAGCTTCATTTTTTCAACTCTACTGTGTTACCAACAGCACACCAACTACCGCTTTTGCATAGCTGAGAAATGAAATAATTGAGATTTATTGCCTTATCCCGGCGACAGTATTTGAAAAGGTTTTTCCACGTACTGCGACAGCGGGGTGCCGCGTCGACATCATGGCAGAATCTCATTAACCCTCCTTCAAGTAACACGACTCTCCCAATATTCGTACACGAGACAGTTCACAGATTTTCGTTTTATTTCTGTAACTTTTCAGTGTTGTTCCTGTACATGTACACAAAGTTAGGGACGATCGTTGTTTCAAACTGCCCTCTCTGAAATTAGTGCAACGGTCTGCCTGCGGAATGTACTTTCATTCCCATCAGTCTGATGACTGTGGACTTAATGGGTCGAGTGTCGTATCATGAATTACTCCGTTAAATTATAATTCACTGCAATCTTTATACGTCGCGTGTTTAATTCTCAAAAACACTTTTCAAAGTCTGCAACCGCTATTTGATTGAACGATTTGTTTGAAAGAGTCATTTTAAGATACAAAAATATTATTTTGGTGATTGATTACGGATCAGTGAGAATTCTGTACGCACTTTTAGTGTATTCGATGCCTTGTATATTAGGCTTTCCTTTATGACTATAGTGAGTAAAATTTGCTCATGAAAAGTGGCTGTTTAAATTGATAATAACATATATAAATGCAATTTTCTTTTATTACTGTATACACAGTCGAACTGCAAAATTATTTTAAGCTATATTAAAACATTTGTTCTGAATGTTTATAATCTCATATGTTGAACAATTTTTAGCTACAACTTGTTATGCTCTACATTTTTATTTAGGTTACTCTCGTTGGTACTGAGTATTACCTACGTTATGTAGGACGTTGGCAGCGTTACAGTGCCCGATATTGTCTGTGTCGTAACGATACGAAAGAGTAGGTACGGGTTCTGGCACCGATATAGTGAGGCCGTAAATTAAAGCCTTAAGTAGAGACACTGATAGATGCAGTCGCATCCAGGTACGCGTACATGTACCTCTTATAGCAGTAGTACATGGAATGTTAGACTGCCAAAGTCATTTGTGAATTGATATTTAAAATGTCTGATTATAATCTGTCATTAATACTAGAACTACCGACGATAAACGCATATATATTTCGATCGACCGATAAACACGACAAACTTTTGAAAATTTACAAATGTATAAATTAACTAATTTTTTCACTTTCGTATCGTAATAAAAGTTGCAAGAGATCTGAAAAAATGTAGTTATAATGTCTTAATCATCGTTATGAGACTACAGATAAGTTATTCTGACTTGTTTGGTAGTTCTAGTGCTAAAACTGTACAGTATTAGATCGTCGTCACCTCTTGCTCGTTAACAATAACCGTACTACTAAAAATTAACCTGCAGTTGTTAAGGATTAGGACACATACTTTTTCGATCTCACTATATCCATATAGGTTCCAGGATGTATATTGGAAGCGGTTAGGATACTTTTTCGTACTGTTCTTGTTCCTTCAAAGTGTAACACATATCTTACAAATACATAGCTTAAGGTGTTAACTAATGAAAGTAATATTGTTTTAATGGTTGAATCGATTGATATATGATAATTTACAATAAAATATAGTAAGTGAAATTAATAGAATGATTGGATCGGAAACCGTCGAAGGTTCAGTGCTACGCAGCCATTTTGCTACACCGACGAAATATCTAGCTTCCCTATGGCGTGGAACCAGGATATCCCGTTTTCTCGGTGATCGTACTAGATATGGCAACTCAATAACTTTCGGCTCCTAGATACCTGGTCCTGGATATACCGTTTGAACCATTCAATACCTCACGCGAATCACTGTACGAAGTGAACGCAATAAATACAATGACTCGATGATATGGAAGTGTTACGTTTTATACATACGTTTTATACGTATGTGCACCTGTATTGGCCCCGCCGCCACTTCTTACGCTGTAACTTCCGTAAGTTTGCGAATTTTTCAATAATATTTTTTGTAAAAACATTCCCAAGACATTGAGCTTCCATAAAAAATCGAAAAAAATATTTCGATATTTTGAACCCGAAATACCTACATAAGAACCCCCCTAAGCTCTGAAAGTGGACTTGGACACCGTGATATGCTTTTTTCTCCTTTTCTAGTAATTTTATTTACATGTATTCAGACAAATGATAAAAGGAAGGTTATTTACACCCCTTTTCAGAACTGCTTATGGCAGAGTTTGACGCCAATTTATCTGGCTGATACTGAATTTTCCGGGCGAGTAACACTTTAACACTTACAACTTCCAACCTTTATTTTTCCAAAACTAATTTACCATTTGGGTAACTTTCTCTGTTAATAGCTATAGCAATAAGTACTACAAAAAACTCGAATAAATGAAAAAAAAACATTCAAGTTTATGCAAGATTTGTAAATTTCTTAGCTACTGGATTATTGAACCGTATCGAATGGTACGTCTGCTCAGGAATGTGACACTTTTACAGTCATCACCGTCACAGTAGAATGCAGCATTCTCAGAAGACAGTTAAAATACTACTGCATTCAAGGAAACGTATATTGCTAGCTAGATGCTCCTGGCCAGTTTTCGTTCTTCGCAAAATTAGACATTCCTGTCTCATAGACACTCGGTGCCGGGCGTTTTATCCGGACGACGAAAATGGGGTGAGTCTTCACTGGAATAATTTGCAGTTTTCACGAACTGCGGAATAAGGAGGGTTAGTTTTGGAAGTAGCGGTGTTCGCATAAGTTTGTTAAAGTTAAGTTGTTCGGAGAGAAAATTTGTTTTTGCAAGTAGGTGAAAGTTGGGCATATAATGCGCTTTATAACGATCTACGACGAGTTAGGAATTCTTATGAGATTTTAATACACACGGCGCTGGGCGTACTGCCCCCCCCCCCACCTCCTTGTTCACCCTCGTCGGCGCCAAATTATTTTATGACCTAATGGTGTGCTGCCACGGTTACATGATACTTTTCTTTCCCCACCGTTCCTAGACATTCTTCAGTAGAACCCAACGAAACCCCATCTACAAATTGCCGCGTATAAGCAAATTTCCATAGCACGGTAAGTTTGGTCGTTTTAAAATGTTTATAGCTCGTATAGTTCAATGGAAGTGTTGATCAATTTTCAGTTTCCGTTCCTTTCAAGTTTCAAAGTGTGAAATTACCATTCATATTGTAATTTTTTTTCTGTAGTATTTTCGTGAATTCTATGACTGGTACGTACAGGAAATTCAAACATTTTTAATACGTTGCCTACCATGTTGCCCATATTAGTCAAATTGAGAACTCCGCGTTCCTGCACTGTGTTAATATCACTGTGTATGTCAAATGTAGAAAATATTTGACGGTAATTTGTAATAAACATTTTAGGGTGAAGAACCATTGATCATGAAGCGTACACATAACATATAATCATTAAAGTGGAAAAATAAAATTTTCTTAATTTTCTAATACGACTGAAGTGCTTTCTTAATTATTAAATGTTTTTAATAGAAAGTATTTAATTTTCTTAATTTTGTCGAAGGAGAATTAAAACTTCGTAAAACAATAAATACCTAAATTTCTATGTTAACTAATATTTGAAAATGCTACAGAAAACTTCATTATTTTAATGTTTCTTCGATATTTATTTCACATTTTTATATTATGATATAAAATTTTATAGAGAATTTCGAATCTGTATGTGCACAGCGATTTTTATCCTGAGTATTAGAAAAATGCCAGTGCACCTTTAGAGCTGTCTAGTACTCAAGAAGAAGTGTATAGTTAACATAGGTTTGCAAGTCAGTACCGCCGATGTCGAATAAGATTTTCTGTTCCTAGAAATGTTGCAAAAACCAAAAAGAATATCATTGTGAAGGTTTTAATAAAATAAGAATTTTACACTTCAACAACTTTCCTGGTTCACCAAGTATATTTCGCCAGCGTATTATGATTGCCATTTAATATTCGACAGCGTATTATGATTTCTATTTAGTATGGGACATAGAAAAGCGGATCCGAAATTTTGTCGATGAGAACAGTTAAATTTACCATGTATTTGTACAAAGACAGACAATTGTAGAAATTGTCGTTGTTGTTGAAGGCATTATTTTCATTGTTATTTCTTATCGAACTTATATGGAACATGATCCTCTGCTTTTTTTCAGTGAAGCCGTTGGTTGTACAGATTTTGACGAAGGAGTCTCGAGTTTCCGCTGACAAGAACTATGACGTGGAGTGCAGGACAAGTGGTTCCAGACCAGAAGCGGTAATTACTTGGTGGAAGGCGAACAAACAGATTAAGAAAAAAGCGGAGAATGTAAGTTCTGTGCTCATAAGTACTAGGACACTTACGAATATACAGTAGATGTTACAAGGCATTACGATATTGCTGAAAGTCTGAAATAAATATTGTTCAAGGGATATTAAAGCAGATGGACATCGTTCATGCTACCATGAAGTAGCAAAAGTGACCTCAAATATATAAAATAATTTTTACGAAACATCACATTTTCTTCATACAGACCAGGTATCCTAATACTTACAAGCGATAGTGTACACGTTTTCTCTTCGAAGTTTCCGAATTAAAATTAAAACAGCAGTTTTGAAGTCAAACCTCACGCGAGAAAGCTTAAAATTATCCTGAAGTTCCTACTAACAAATAATATTATTATTTAAGTTGACAAGACGGACCCATATTAAGTGTGCAGTTATTAAGATATTCCGAGGGAAACGTTTATGATACGGGCAATTGCATCGTTTATAGAGCATAAAAAACCATTCAATTTTTATTCTAACCATTTTTTTATATCTACGATAGTTTTAACGATATACAGGGAAATATGGAAACACCTATTTACCTTCAAGGGATGTTTTCACCCTGAAGAATTGAAATTGGGCCAGAAACAAAAATTGCGCTATACTTCTCTTGAGGTCCCCTACAAATCTGCAGTTTAAAAAAAATCGGAATTTTCAGGTTACCGAACTTCCCTTGTAAGGTGCAGAGTAAAATTGTTTTATCCGAGGCTTCGTTTCCGAGATAATTGATTTTGAAGATCTGCTGGATACGCGTGCAATTGAGTAGGGCTTGAATGCGTCTGTTCATTGAATCCTATTTTTACTTACTGGCAGCACAAACACAGACGTTTTAAATACAGTTTCACGATCGATTTTCTTGAAAACTAAGTCTTTGACGAACAAATTTTATTCCATGCTCTGGATTTATTTTTGCAGACGGAATCACTTCTCATACCGTGTATGTGCGCCCGTAAACTACGCAAATATGAACTAATCTAATTGGAGGCATATATGTATAAGATGATCAATAAGTCCTCGACAACTGTGATTCAAAATAAAAAAGTAACACTAAAAGATATCACACTTTTATTAATAAATGATTAATTAGACTATAGAAGCTATTTAATTGATGAGGTTTTCAAAGTGTTTGTCCTCAAAAGTAACACAATGTTGCATTCTGGTCTAACAATTATACATAGATTTGCAGATTGAAATGTATCGAGCCTAATTGATCGAAATGCATCCGGTATTGATACTTTTATGTCTGCAATTGATCTAGGAGCTGGACGATAGACTGTTCCTTCATGCAACTCCGTAATTTAATTAGAGTTGATACACTTCAATCTAATTGATAACTTTAAGGCCAGACAACAGCACTGTTACTTTCGAGGACAAACATTTTGAAAACACGATCAATTAAATACGTTTGTGGGTCTTACTAAATATTTTTTAATATAGTTTTGATACCTTTTAATGTTAATTTTTCATTTTGAATCATAGTTTTTGAGGATTTATTGATCACCCTGTACATATTCACACATAACAGTTAAAAATTCAATCTTACTTTTGAATTAAAATAAGGACAAGTGTTTTGACATATCACCTGAGAAGAATTCGCGTAATACGATATTCTAGAATATACATATGATATATGTTCCAGAATGATATTGTTAGGTCACGTAATGCTCACACTTAATCGCCGAACCGTTACACGATCCTTAGAAATGAAGCCAGAAATACAGGACACTTTGATTGGTTCTTAATGACTGTATTTACAATATTGTGTGTTTGTGTGCGTGTATAAGTGATGTTCACTGGGTGAGTTCTGGTTTGAGTCTGCTATTTACAAAAGTTCGGGCGCGCCTCTGACGTCGCACTTCGCCTTCGTTGGTGATATGCTTTGTCAACAACGTTTTCTAAATGACGAATTTCTATTGGTTGAACACTGAAGGAGTAGGGGTATACCTCGGATCATCCGAGGTTCGTGGTGGAGGAAAAGGTTCCTTCACAAAGAAACGCACGCCTGCAAATAATTAAAACCACGTGGCCAAGTTTGGCCTTACCGCGCAAAGGTTGCGGGTGTCACTCAACGGTACAAGTTTATGGCAATATTGTTATTCGCCACGGTGGTACTACGCGACCGGGATTGGCTGTCGACCAAATGTTGGAACCTTCGTCTATTGTATAAGGGTGTCGGAAAGATTAAAAAGGTACACTATTGAAGTGAAATATACAAGAAATAAACGCGTACATTACCACGGGAAATTGAATGACTAAATTGGTGTTTTGTTGGAAAGTAATAACAGCTGTTATGAAGCACTATACGAAACACATATCGAATCTATATAATAGTGTAACCAAGTAGAAGTCAAAGTTTCATAAAATGGACCTGAGTTTTCAATTTCCATCGACTCGGTGTTAGCATTTTTCGTTCACAGGTATGCCATAGTGCTAAAAGCAAATGCAAAAGCGATTTCTGACGCGATTCCGAGGAAAAATTCTTGAAATCGTTGCCCTACGAGTTTCCGTAATTCACGATCATTCGTCGGAAAGTTGCAAAATGAAGTTATTTCGTTTTTCCTTCAACCTGCCTGGTTCCCCGTCGTTTTCGTCGTCTCCGTTTCGATCGACGCGGCTTGACACTTTCTTCTGGGTTGCTGGAGGTAGCGCACGAGTTCTCTGACGAATCCACTGAATACTCTCCTGCCAGTTGCTTCTTGCGGACCTTTCGATAAATTACGGAAGACCTTACTCTCTTTTCTTATTTGCGACCGAGCTTTTTCTGCCGCGATATCGAAACGGTTTTCCTGAACGTTCCAATGCCGGTTAACTTTGTCTCCGTAATCCTTGCAGCAGCTAAAGAACAAATCCTTCTCCTATATTTCGTAACTTTTCTTACCCGTAAGCTTTTCTATAGCTCAGAGTTCCTTTCTTGCGGAGACGCAGTAGACCATGGAAGAAATATCCTGGAGAAATAGAAGTCAGTTATTTCAAGGTACCATTAATTTCAAGTAAAAGGGTACTTATTTGGTTGACACGACCAAAATTGAAGATGTTGTTCATTTAATAGTTTCGTACGATTGTCCTCTGAAGAAAGGAATTTTTCAATGGAATTGATAAGGTCTTTATGTTGTTCAACTATGCATAGTCCTGATGCAACATGTCACTACTGCAGACATACAACACTGCACAACATTGTCTTTTATTTCATTGTACAAATCGTTAATGTTCCAAAGGTTGCAGGGTGTGTTTTAACATGTAGGTTATCTACTTAGAGTTCGTGCGAACAGGTGCCATATTTCACTTTGGTCTCGAGTTATAGTCATTTTTATACTACAATCATTCTTAACCCTTAACCAGGACAAACGACGATCTTGTGCGCAAACGGTCATGTGGCATTTGAGAGGCTACTTCCTTGAAGTAATGACGTGACGATACTATATTTTACAAAATTTGTTGAATATGTAGTAACAACTTAGAAGTACTCTTAGTTCTCGTATCACTACGCAAAACTGAAGGAATTGTTGATGGCACCATTCGAGAAATATTATTCTCAAACTCCGTATACAATTTCTTAGGTGCCACGTGCCCGGTCAACACGTTAAATACCACAGTTTTTACATTTGCGACACTATCATGAGACTACACGTTTTAGGTCTTTGTTGTTAACACTTTAAATATTTACACGTTCACTTGAACACTCATTACTTTCATTATTACTCTACTAGTAATTATGTTCATAAAAAATTGGATGTTTCTGTTGAAAAATTCAATGTTTCTTCGTGCAAATTAAAAGCGCCGTTTATCTGCGACAACCATGTCAGTTGACGTATTAAAAGTTAGTAACAAAGTGAGCTATATATTGTAGCTGATTCTGCTGATCTCTTTCAAGTTGTACCTGAACTAAAAAAAGTTAAACTGTTGCAATTTGCAATACTCAATAAGTCCTTTCTATCCCTCAACTTTGTTGACTATTTCGTTCTATGAATTAGTTCAGCTTGTTCTCTCGGTGAGTGCAATTGATTATTCATTAATTTGTACGTCACAATTGATAATGAATCAGTAGTGAATTTTAACGGTAAACACTTTTGTCTCTGTGACACGACGACTACTATAGGATTGCATTTATACCGAAGGTAGCCATTTCGAACACATCCTGTAAAGGTAAATAGCTGCACATTAAGGGAGTAAAAAAACGCTGTAACTCAGAAACAAAGTCAAATAGGGTGCATGTTTGGATGAACTTTTTTAGATGCTTTAAAGAACACCCTATTTAGTGCACATATTGTTTGTCTAGGCATGTTATAATTCCAATATAGAAGTTTAAATTAACTCACATGTTAGATCATATTTCTTCGAGTCATTGCAGTTTCCAAAGTTTCAATTTGGAGGAGGTATATTTTGGAACAGACATTTCTGAGGGCAGTTTGAAGAAACTATTGTTTTAATAAAAAGAAAGTTCTTCACAATACGAACCAGCACTGAATATACATACTTAACTGTTGCCTGGTTATATTAGCTCTAATCCTGACATAACGACGAATCTCACCTCACGACACAATACCATTATTCCATTAATCTACACGACATATCTCGTGATCCGATGTGTTTGACCTGACGGAGTAAACTAGATATATCGTACCCGATGGTACATTTCTTTCTTCGTAGTACACGCCGTTAATTAAAATCTACAATGGATGTCATTTATCGACTGCGACAGCGATTGGAACTTAAAGAACACTAATAAAGAAACCATCCAAATTCGAACCGCTTTCTGTTACCAAGTACCTACTGCAATTACCTCATTCTGTATATTAACCACGAAGTTATTCATAACTCACAATCATGGAAAAACGTAAACACATATGCAAGATCTCACGTCCGCAGCGTCACAGTAACGACATAAGTTTGCGACATGACTTGTTCATAGCGTACCAGTAACGACATCGTATGACGAGATATCTCTTCCGCGACCATGAAGGGGTTAACCGGGTTGAAAAGTCGGAATGATAAACAAGTCCTGCAACGGTAGATTCGGAGGCGTTATAAAGAGTCAGAGCTTCATAAACCGTGCCTCGGAACGATTTGATTTATTTTGTATGTCGCTCGGAAGAGAGCTCCACAATTTCTGTGGGGATAACTTTCGGCCTCTGCACACATCCACCGGCGTAATCGTGACGATGGTGGTCCGTATACAATCTCCCAGCAGGATATATTGACGGTCCTGTTGGACTGTCCGAAGAGCTTTATCGGGAAATTCGATCGCGTCGCAACGAAGCGAACCGAAAGCACTATGCAGTGAAGCTTACGGCTGGTGAAGGGTGGGGCGGGAGAAGTTGGCCGGGGGGGGGTCGAATGAGGGTGGAACAGGCGCAGCGTGGCAAGCGACACGAAAAATGAACGACAGAGAAAGAACTACTGGGAATCAAAGGGCGGAGGGACGAGGAGAGAAGAAAGGAAAAAGTCGAGGAGGGATTCATGAAGCGACATTCATCCTGGCGAACCGTTAGTTCCTTTCATCGTATTCGCGATACTGATGTGAATACGCGGTTTTTTTCCTCCCCTGATATGCATGCCTGGTGGCGCTATCATTAAAATGACATCGTGGAAACGGAAGGTTAGAGATCGAGATAAAGAGAAACAGAAAATCTCGCGGGGCGGGGCACGGCGAGGGGGTTGGTAGAAGGGGGAGGGGGGTACATAGTCGCCGAGATAGATCCGCTCTACCCCTTTTACCCTCCATTTTCCTCAATTCCACGCCGCTCCATCATAAATCTCGAAAAATCGTTAATCCCGGTTCGGTCCCTTTATTTTCTCATCTCTCTTCTGTAGCAATGCGTACGACCGCCGAATTGATTTTCATATTAAACGCATGACAAATTGTTCAGGTAGTTTCGTTCACACCGGGCAACCCAGGGTCAAATCAGTTCGGCGGTTCGATTGAATTTTCGAGACGTTAATCTCGAAACAATTGGAGTTTCGATTATTGAAAATTGTAAGAGACGGAGCGTTTGATAAATGCGTGTAGAGCGAGCACCAGGTACTGTCCCAAAATTCACGTGCGTTTTCTAAATTTCAGAAATACACTAAAGTTTTAGTAAATATTCCTCTTTGTAGTCGGAATATACGTAAGCTGAACTCTGTGAATCAAGTAGACCAAGTCGACTCGTCATTGAGGAAAGGTCCCCCCTAGGTGCAACGTTGATTTTATAATGAGACTTTGCAAGGCAATAGCGGTTGAAATTTTGAAGACATTAATATTTGTTTCAGTAGATTATTGACGTTAGTTTATAAAATATTTAATGTTAAAGCTCCAGTTCATGTATATATTTCTATTAAGATACACACCTTTAACAATTTAAAGTTTAACATGCTTACTAAGGTGTGTATCTACCAAATCGTTGATCTCTTGTTGACGTAGCTTCGAACCCTCTTGGGTTAACTTTATAGAAAGATATAACGTTCTTTCCACCTCTTTTTTAAAATTATATTAGGGACCTTTCTGTACTAGTCTTTATTTTCATTTTATTTTCCTGTTCCTCGTATTTATTCAATTAATTAATTAATAACTTTGTAGTACTTATACTAATGCAAATAACGCGGTACTAGTGTTTACAGCAGGACAACATGCACCAGGCCATCTTTACTCACAATTATTGTTGCTCGCGTGGTAGCTTACAATTGGAAACTTAATCTGTTAATAGATTAAGCAACTTATCAGACAGAAATCACCTACTTCTGATTTAGTATACCACAAGCTATTTGCCAAATTGTACAATCATTGGGGAAAAGTGAATAAAAGCACCCTTCGTTTTGTTCCGCGTTACTGTTGCCTATATCTTGATCTTATACCACGTGTGTGCGTGTCGCGTGTCCTCGTCGCACCCCTCGTAGTTGTCGTATATCAGTCTCATTATAGACCGTTCACCCCATCCATATTGTGTGGCCAATTTGTCGACACATGCCATCCACTTCTCCACCGTTAAATCATCCTGTGCTGAGTTGAATATGGGAATCATTGGCTTGCTCTCCTTATTAATAGTCGTGTGCTGTGCCAACTGTGGCATATTTTATAACTCTTTTATGGGTTCTATAAATTTATTAAGGGGTCATGCTCAGTCAGGAGTTCGAAAAAAGATTGTGCTTTGGGAATTTTTTTTCCGAAAACTATAAGACCTTTTTTAAAAAATGTGTTTGTGTTTGAAAGATTGCAGTTTCTAGATTATAAGGTAATTTTTTTATTTACAAATATTTATTAGTAAATAAATGGTGACCGATCTCCTGGATGTCTCTTCACAAAAAGTGGTCTGCCGTGATCACTGTAACTTCGTAACGGTTCATATGAAATTAAAAATTCAGTAAGATTTATGTAATGGATGAACCAATCTTGTCCTTGAACGTGGGGTTTTTCGGATGCTTTTCTGCATTAATGGCATATACAAATGACTACAACATCATAATGGCTTAATAGTAAACAATAAATGTTTTATTTAAAGTTTTGTAAATATCCAGTTTACTTGTAACTTATTCCTTTGTATGATTACAAGAATATAACACAACATTCCTAAACATCCTAAACCTAATCTAATCGTCACACTTGATAATCCTTCAATGTCACACACAAATGTATTGCAATTCAATTTCGAATTGTCATTTGAATTCGACGGTAGTAAACCTCATTTAGTACATAACTAGTCATTAACCGTTTCGCTACGAATGGCTGTTGTACATATATAGACCATACTATTCTGCTGCACAACTGACGTATTTCGCTGTGCATGAGGAATCAGCTGGATTCATAAACGGATATTACATTTATTCGTCCGTTATGATAATGAACATAATAAAGTTAAAATATACATTGGTTTGCTATATTGTAATAATGCCTTAAAAATGAAACCTTTTAAAATGAAAAAGTATTAGTCAAACAATATTATAGCACCAATAGTATAGCACCAAGAATAAACTTATGCTTTGATACACCACGATTGTAAGAATATCCCATAGACTATGAACTGTACAGAGAAATGACTGATTGTTTTCGACATCACTCCATACACGGACCAGTTCAAGTTATATTTTTAATCTACAGGCTTGGAAGTACTTTTTGCATCACAGATATATTAAACACGTTATCATTCTCTTATAAATAATACTACCAATATTAATGAAAGCAGATACTTATTGCACGGATGTGTAACTCACTATCTGTGCCAAACTAATTGTAAGTTGGATACGAATCATTCTACCAATTGTATTCCAACAAAAATTATTCGTACCACGTAAACGATGCAATAAATATTTTTAATACTGTCAATATATTGTATATAATCAATCTTAATTAAATATTAATGTATACCAGTTCCTATTTAATGTTTCCATAAATCCACAAAATTATCCATAACGGTGTTTATAACAGAATCATTGCTATCGGGGTATATTTTCAAATAAATTAGTTGCTTAGAATATTTTTTTAATGTATACAAATGTTTAAAAGTTTATTCGCTGGTAATTAATTATGAAATTATACGTTATTGGCAGTACGTATTGGAAAACAATCAGACTCTAAGTATCCTGAGCTTCGAGCCAAGCATTGACGATGACGGCAAGTATCTGACGTGTCGGGCCGAGAATCCATCGATTGTGGACAGTGCTTTGGAGGATAAGTGGAGACTGGACGTGCACTATCAGCCAGTGGTGACTCTTAAGATGGGCAAGACTTTGAATCCCGATGATATCAAAGAAGGAGACGACGTATACTTCGAGTGCTCAGTTCGAGCTAATCCGAAAGTGTACAAGCTCGCGTGGTTTAAAGATGTAAGTTTTATTACAGAACTATCGTTAGATATTTTTTGTTTCTTGCGGGTAGATGTATTTAGTCTTCTACTGAATGAAAAATATTTATCATTTTTTACATTTCCACATTTGAAATTTTCAATGAATATTTCTATAAAAATAATGTTACATATGAAGAATACACTATACTATTAGGTGTACCAATTAGTAGTCCACTATTTTTGTGAAACTCTGTGTTCATTTCGATGGAATTCAAGTATCTATCCAATTTGAACACTATTCATTATTTGTTCACATTATTCTTCGCCATTTTGACTAAACAGAAGATTAGAAAGATATTTTGAATCTCAAATGCATTGTCACTATTTTGGAACTATAATGAATTATTTATTGTTACCCTTAGTATAATACTATTTAAAGGAAGTAAAGTCACAATAGCGGTGATGATATATTAATAATATGTGACAATCAAAAAGACAGTTTTTGTATTGTCACGAGATGAGGGCAACATCATGTTACATTTATCATAGTTTTATTAGTACATTAATATGCTTTTCATATTGAATAAACCTGTATATATGATTTTGTTATTTTGAACAGAGCATTGTCATTTTAACTACAATTTCTAGATTCGATATTTTTACTATTACTGTTGAGATATTATATGTGCACACTTTACATACAGGGTGAGTTCCGTGACAGTATGACTTCAAATAACTCGTAAAATATTTGCTGTACGTAAAGCTGTTTGAAACAAAAGTTGTATGGTTTCGAAGAGAGCATACAGTACATCTAGTGGTTTTTTTTATTTTGCTTTTGTGTCGACATCTGAAGGTTACATACAGTTTCTAAAATTTGCGTAAGAAAGTATAATACCAAATAGGGTTTAAAATGAATAATTACTGAGATATTCTCAAAATAATTTTTATTTTAAGTCGTCCTGTTACGACATTCACCCTGTATATAAAGTGCATATATTTAACTACTTATATCTCTAAAATTATCAGGCGTCTACACCGTACATTTTATATGAATCACTAGCGACAAGTAGTACCATCTGGATTTCCAACTTATAATAGAAATTAATACGTTTCAAATACTTAGATAATAATATTGTGTTGATTTTTTATACTTTATATTGTCATTTATGATGGTTCCAATGTTATACATTCATGTATTGGTAATGTATACTCTGCATTGAAGATTGATATTAACCATGGTCAATTTGATGTTACACATAAGAAATAGAACTTATAATTTTATATTATGTAGTATTGTAGTCATTCACATCAAAGTGTGAGTGGAATACTTGGAATGTTTACCATGTTCCGAGTTTTTGTCAAGCACCTGTTACTTGCAGATTGAAAAGCAGAATTCTGTCACAAAACGATATTGTCTGTTTCAGGGGAAGGAGCTGAAGAATAATGTCACGTTAGGGATAGTGTTAAGCGATCATTCTCTGGTTCTCCAAGGCATAACGCGGTACTCAGCCGGCGATTATACTTGTCTTGCTGCAAATAGCGAAGGGAAGACTCCAAGTAATCCCGTGGCTCTTCAAATAATGTGTGAGTACGAATTTTTCATACTTTTTTCATTTATACTTCGTCTACGTAATTTACACTTGTAAGTTTACTATACGAATGAGTATAAGTAGATTATTCTCAACACATATATATATATATATATATATATATATATATATATGTATATATAAAGCAGAAGACAATCTATACTATATAATAATTTAAATTTTGTTACGATCTATGATTGATCTGACGATCGTTCAAGTTCTGGTGGGTCTTTGCACGTCGTGTGTCGACTAAAGTACCTTACTCTCTCAACGGACGACGCCCCATATTAAAGGGACGACATCTTGATTCTAATCATGTAGTTCCTTGAAACTTAACATTTAGCCCTTTAAATCCCAGTGTTGCACCGCTGCAACACTCATTTTAAAAGTGCGTCAAATTCTGTCGCTGGTTAATGTCCAATTTTTGTTAGCAATGATCTCCAGTTTCACTAATGAGAAGTAGATACAACATTTTCAGTTGAAAACTTCAAGTATTCTTTCAAAAAATATATAAAGAAATAGGTCGGTTTAATGTTGATATTTTCGACTTCAAAGTAACAAGATAGAACATAATATGTATATCAGTCTCATCATTTTGAAATAATGATTTACCGGTCTGGGCGTTAAAAAGTTAAACTGGTCTCGGAACAATAACTAACTAATGTCGAAACAATGTTTACTAAATACAATTTGTGTAAGTTCAATACAGTGATCATTTTGTAAATATCTCGTTAACTATTAGGTTTAAGACGTATAACGGTTAACACATTTTTACTCAAAATTTGACACTCTATCACTCTATAGTACAAAAAATAAGTCATTCCATTAAAAAAAATCAAGGTGACCTTGAAATCTCTGAAACGTCTCCATCCACAAAAAAGCACGTACCTTATAAGATGTGCCCCTTGATGCCATTTCAGTTGCACACCTCAAAATTTTCATAAAGTCTACCGTTAAGTCATTATTCGAGGTGATCAAGTTAGCTGACACACCCTGTATATATGGTCCTTGAGGGTTAACATTAATGTCTAATTAAGTAGTTTACAACTACCCCCCTCCCACCCCCGAGAAGTGATAAATCTCCCTTCGCATGAGAATGTGGGTTTATGAAAGAACTGATTGAAAGAACACCCTAAAGTTACTTTCCTCGGCGTAACACAAAAGGCCTCCTGCTTGTTTAATCGCGGGTCCCCGTTATTCCGGTCACTCGTTAATCACAAGAACAACGGAAAATGTCAAGAATAGAATTGCAGTTCGGGGTTGATATTCCCGGGCCAATTCTCTAATTTGCCAGCTCTCACCTCGAGACCTCGATAATTACTTAATCGATGGCAAGTAGCAGCCGAGTGCGCGTACCGGGAATTGGACTTGAAGGGTGCTTCGCCCGCTTTGCCCATGGAATCGGTGGGAATGGGCTGGAAAGGGGAGCGCTGTGAAGGCCCGTGGATAGGATAGATAGTTTTCTGTAAAACATACAGCACGAGTTATTCTATTAGAATGGTTAGTACTCCTGGCGGTAGCCCCGGCGTATATGCATCTTGTAAATGACCTAAGAGGGAAGGAAGGACTGCGATGCATATTCAATGTATGGAAAGCGTAGCTGAATATTCATGTGTAGGTGAACGCAGACCTGGCAATGTGCTAAGCTAGACGAGGGTGGGGGGCGGTAGGGATGCCCTAAACTAAAGGGAACCGCGAAACCATCGTAATGTTTTAACCCTCAACCCCTCATACTGACACTGATCCAAACCGAATCAGTCAAGAATTTCAAAGATTACCTCTCCCTTGTTCTCGACTCGAACAGTTACCTGTGCAATGCAATTTTCTATATAGATGGGGACTAACTTTTGTGAGGTACGGAAATATTTTTCGAGGAGGGTATTTGATCCAACAAATTTTGAATCACCAGAAGAATTATTTAAAAGAATTTCAGTTACTGTTGTAGCAGCTCATCGAATTAGGTTAATTGATTGTTAAGTAAATTTTTGATGCAAAAATTAGTGATTATATGTATGTGAATACAATATTTGTAAAGTAAATTAATTTATAGACTCTGGAACAAATATTATACCAGAAATTAAAACAAGTTTGTAAAAGTGTCTATGAAAATGTAAGTTTATATAAATACGTGCAATTTATTCATTACAAAGGTTACCTTTTATTTATTAACAGGAACTAACTAGATCTAATTTCTACTAAGTGCGAAAATCGCAGGAAAGTTAATCTTTTATTTGTTAAACACAAACCACCCTAACCTAACTCTTGTCACTTTGTCCAGAATGAAACCTAACCGCAATCTTAATCATTTGGGAAACGTTTCTTATACGTCTTTTAAGACATCGCCATAGCGTTTTTAAAATCTCTTTAAGCGTTCCCAAAACGTACAGGGAATGTTACTTTTACACATTCGGGAAACGTTCTGAGAATGTTCACACAGGACGTCCTCAGGACGTTCCACTTTGTAAGTATGACCTTCCTAGGACGTTTAAAGATCTTAACGAGGACCTAACGGGGACATATGGACCTTTTCGGGACATCCTCCGAATGATTAGATCGTTAACTAAGTTTTGCGAACCGCTCATAAGTGATACTAGTGTATATTGAGCTTATATTTCACGCCGATTTTCTTTTGCTCCTCAAACATTGGCTATTCTTCTATAATAAAGTACATTCGTAAGTTTAATTCTGTAGTCAAATACTGTTGATTATTTTATTTGTAAAGGATACCTGATAAAGAGCATATTCGTCATTGTACTTTAGTGTTCTTTAATTTGAAAAATATGGTAGTGGAGTTATATCTCCCAGACACATGTGGGGGATCGTTTCAACGATTAAAAATGGCGATTGCGACTTGAGAGATAAGGAACATAAGAACTGGAGCTTGCAATTTTAAATTAGTATTGTGGTAATCCACATGAAAATATAAGTGGAATACTTGGAATATTTATCATGTTACGAGTTTTTCTCAAGCATCTGTTACTTGCAGATTGAAAAGCAGAATTCTGTCAACGCGCTGAACGACTAACAGAAATGAAAATTGATGATTTGGATGTGTTGTCGAGAAAATACCCGGTCCAATCGATCAGTAAACTTGTAAACCATCATGAAAGCGTAAAATTAAAAGTATTATCTAAAAGACGGACGCCTTAAAGGGCTCGCATATAGGGATCGGGCAGTTAAGAGATACATTTATTTATTGTTCGTTTCAAGGATTATCAGCTTATATGTTAATAAAATTTTTCACCAACAATTGTTACACAGATCAAATCGTAGATAAAAGGGAAAATGCATAGTTGCCAGTGAAAAATGAAGAGATTAATTTTTTTAAAAGGGTGAGCTTATTTATAGATTGCACACATCTATAAGTGGGGTACAATACACGGACCAAATATTATTTCGTAATGTCAAAAGTGAAAGGAGTAGGCCTTATCACAAAAGTGTAACAAGTGGCCTATTAAGGGATAACCCCACGGCGATAGGCAAAAAGTAGAATAACTTTGAGAAGATCTATTTTGGTCCCCTAGGATGTGTGCAAAGAAACACTGCTTCGTTTAGCGTACGCTGCAGTCATTTTGAAATTTGAGTGTTTACAATGGCAGACGAAGCCGAACTGATAGATTCTTAATGACGCATCGTAGTGTTTTAGGCATACTACATATAAGCCTGTTTTTGAATTTTTGAAAAATATTAGTTCTTTTTCCAGACGTCATTTCAACGTTCTTATGAAACACACTGTATATTCCAGTTAGTATCGACAAGCCCGTAATGCGTATAACTAACGTGTATTCTGACAGTAGGTATACTGCGATTTCCAATCAATGAACGAAATCCTGGGTGATACGTCGATGCCTGCCGACGTGTGTCCCGGTATCGCTGACTTCTCGTATTAGTAATTAATTCGGTAGTGCATCAAACGCATCAGATTGAAACGGAGCTGCTCCGTGATCCCTTGCCTCCGCCGTAAATCATCTCTCGTGCCATTTGGAATTTCCGTATGCCATGGCCTACTGCAAATACCGCTGTCAGGAGAATTTCCTATTAGACGATCAATAGAACGTACCGCGCGTTGAACGGTGTCAACCTTCTTCTTCCGTTTTACGACGACGGCGGATCGCATTCGGGTATTAAGCCAATTTCTCTGGCGCACCCTCTTCCCCAGCTCGCTTTCCATATAAACCGTGATTCCCGAGCTGCTTCCGTTTACGGAACTAATCTTGATCTGCTCGAAAATTTATACAAGAATGTATAATGCATGGAAAGGAAGGATCGCACCAACGAACTCCATAAGATTAAATAAATAACGCTCATCATTTTATCTTTAGCACTGATCTGTGGGACAAAACTTTCGGATGATTAAAGGAAGCATGGTTCTATTGATCTTGCCTTTTTTAGTAGTCCTTTAAATGAATATCTAGATGGAAATAGAAGATAAGAATATGTTTGTGGATATTTTTCTTGAATATGAGAAACAGAAAAGACTGTTTGATGTGTTGGTAAAAAATTTTCTTAGACATAAAATTAATTTTGAGAACCATGTGATTTATTCTTGCAAGTATGATAGAGCAGTTAATGGGGAACAGCATTTCTTAAGAAGCAGTAGCTTTTGGAATATCGTTATCGAAAGAATATTAATACTGGTTATACTTCTTATTGTTTAAATACTATACTCAATTGTCTTTTTGTGCAATGTCCTGCATGGCCCATGTAAGAAAAACAAAGTCACGGGGTCAGTTGGCGTTGTATAATTCGGAAACCGCCCTCACTCAGGATTCGTCTTTCTGTGCACCTATTTCTGGACTTATCCCTACAAATGTCGTTAGAGGTAGATTACGTAACCTGAGCTTGACATGTATATTTTAAATGAGACCAGAACTCCTAGACCCTTTGAAACTGTCAAAACTTTTGAGGTTGGTTGAACATCCGAATAAATTAGAAGTGTTAGAACTTCTGAAAGTTTCTGAACTGTGGTAGATTCTTAATATTAGAGTTTGAACTGTGGTAGATTCTTAATATTAGAGTTTGAACTGTGGTAGATTCTTAATATTAGAGTTTGAACTGTTATAGTTTCTTAATATTTATTAAAAACTGTTCGCTTAATCAATCAAGAGCGTTATTGCTTCCGAAATAGCGGTATTTTTGCTAGTTCTTAACACTTTGACTACCACGTCACCCAAATATGGGTGACACGTACATTGAAAAGTGCCTGGATTATTTAAACACTGTTATAAAATGTTCTCTATTAACTAAACACAAATATTTTCAACAATTTATGACTTAAAAAACGAAATAAAGTATGTCTAGCTACGTACGGCCTTTTTCACTGTGGCAGTCAACTTGTTAAAACAGTAGTTATGTAATAGGAAACGTGGCTTCGTATAATCTACGTAAATAATTCCTTTCTGAATCTCTAACATTACTACAGATATTTTAGCACTGAAACTACTAAACACAACAAAATGACATATTTCAGATTTCTTCGTTTACTAAACGCATATAGGCGCTTACCACGGAAGTTAGGTGTACGGTTAATGCATTATACATTTCGTATTATACTGAGTACAGTATAATATGAATGTAACCTAATAGGTTCCATTGTATTATATAGAGTATGTCTGAAAAATAACGGGATTGACAATATACTAATTCTTCTGCTGCATTGGCCACCTCCAAGAAGTCAGTTTGATGCTGCCGAATTTTTCCAAATTTCTAACCATAGATGACCACTTAATATACATACAATATATATATTCAATGTTGCTAGTTCTAATGCTTGATGGATGAGAATATTACCTATCCCGTCTTGTATTAAATAGGGAATTGACTTATAGACAGGATATTTCTTAATATTTGTATAAGTTTCTCCGAAGACCCTTTACAAAAAATTTTACCAAAATCGAATGCAACGTTTACAGATACCCCGGTCTGCAAAGAGGGTAAAAGCGAGGTGGTCGTCGGCGCCCTAAAACAGGAGACCGTATCGTTGGGTTGTTCCGTGGAGAGTCATCCAGCCCCGTTGACTTTCCACTGGACATTCAATAATTCCGGAGAGCTGGTGGAGGTTCCTCATTCTCGTTACTCTCACGTGCCAGCGCCCGGGACACCGTCCGTCGCCGAAAGCCTGAAGGAGTACCAACAGTTCCACGGATCCATTCTAAACTATACGCCTGCAACGGAAATGGACTACGGCACGGTGGCGTGCTGGGCGAGCAACCAGGTTGGCAAGCAACGAACACCGTGCCTCTTTCAGGTAAATGCATTTCTCTTATTTCACATGAGTTAGAACGCTAGTAGCTCTACATGAAATTTTCTTAAAATCATTAGCTGTAATAGTGTCCAAAATTATTTCGATGATCCTTTCTTTTAAATGCTTCAAATCGCTGCGTATAAATCTTCTCAGAATTATTTGAACAGTTTACAGAGATAGAAAAAAGTATCGATACATCGGGGTGACACCTAGTATTGATTAGTGACACTATTTTCAGTGTCGCATTACGTTCATAATTATGTCCATCAGGCAATGCCTTTGACAGAAAACAAAACTGTTATGGAATAAACGGAAGAAAATAATTTTTAACTTATTGTTAGTAGTATATTGAAAACAGCATTGTCAACGTTGTCAGCACATTGTAACATTACTCCTATTTCATAAGTTTATTTATAGTCTGTAGTTCCTGTTTCTTTTCAATTTTACACTATAGAAAGATTTTTGTCCTTAGTGTTTCCAATCGCTGGGTGCAATTCTGTTCATAATTACAGGACGAATTTTTATATTATATATTTCGATACGTTTACTAGTCTTCATGGGTTCTAACAGGCGATCTCATGAGTTGCTCATTTCTTCGATTTTATGAAATATGTTGTATATGTTGTATTGCTTTACGTGTACAGCATTTTAAAAAGTATCATCTGACTTTTTACTAATTTATTCAATAAAACTTAAGCAGATTCCTATCCGTGATTGAATCACTTTACATTAAATATTAATTCGAGGTTAAATGGTATATTTTCATTTTATAAGTATAGACCCATTTTTTATGGAAAATGTATAATATAATGTCATGAATAGAATAAATACTTATCATATGAAAGTAGGAAAGTAAATAATACATGCCAAATCAGTACATCACTGCCACTATTATCCTTTCTACTGAATAATTTCTTCACTGAGTAGGAAAGAAAAAATATTTCTTGAACTAGTTGCTTTCTTATTAAGTAGGACAGCGTAGGATATTTCCCTGATTTTTCAGTCCTTTATAAAGGTACAAAGATAACGTATGGCCCAAGGGACGCCATTATAATAATGGAAAATGTTTCCTTGATTAGCTTCTTCTGATCTTTATTCTTCACTTCGGCTCATGTATTTATCCTTCAATTTCCCTTGCGCAAACCTTCCTACAGAGAAAATGTAAAAATTCAACTTTGAGCTCTCGACTGACGCGCACGTTCAGAGCATCAACACGATTTCACCATTTTCACTGTGATGCCTGTATACTCGTGTGAGTAACCTACGGTATTTTCCGAACGAACGAATCGAGGAAAATGAAATTCGATATGTGACTTCAGCTCCCATAACAGAGGAATGCTATTGTTGGTAATAGATGGAAATAGGGTTGCGCTACGATAATAGAAAAATGGTAGTTTGGATATAGAATTATATATTTTAATGTGTTGGATCGACATACGTATTTTTCTCTTGAGGTATATCTAAAATTTGAAGTACAGGAGTGTGTCTGAATTACTGGAATCGAATATCTATTGCAGATTTCATATATTTATAACAAATGAAACGAATTAAATCATATACCCTTCGTTTAGTGTAATCTGTCATTCTCGTGATTTATGGAATTAATCTTCTTATAAATAAGTCGATGAAAATGTTCATTTACGTAGATGTTCTAAGTTTATTAATAATGGTATATACATATAATGACTTCGAGGCATCAATAATGATATAGCGATGTTTTCATAGATCCTTACAATATTCCATCATTTTTATACTTTTATTTCATTAACTGTTATTGGAACGTGATCCACATGTATCCATACAATACTGGTATTTGACATTTCAATAAATCTCTACTTAATGTGATGTTGTTATTAACCCTTTATCTAAAGTTTGAAATTCTTTAATATGCATCTGTGACCTTGAAATTTCTAAAAAATGTTCTTTGCTGCGTCATGCTTTAATACCATTCAAATTACATATACATATAATATTTTTTGTATTAATAATCGTCACAACTGAAGTAGATATTTAGGTGGCTACATTTTTAGGTGAGACACCCTGTATATCCAAGCACTTACATTTATATTCTTTAGTACTGTCCAGGTGAAGCTATCTGATTAAGTAGTAAATTCGGAAGATCTACTTGTCCACTGCATGACCCTATACTTATGTTAATGAGTGTTTCTGTAATGACACGTATCAGCCCTAATGAATCCCATCGATCAAGCTTCATCAATTAATTCAGTCAACACAATACCTCATGATAGATACATTGATCTATTCAATCTGAACGTAGTTATATGTAATATCAACCATACACGTGAAGTGACCGCCCAAAATAACACGCTTAACTTTCGAATTACTTACTTACCTCCTGGATGGTAAAAGTTTCTGTATACGTACGTATATTTTGAAAAGTCACGATATTAGATTATCGTATACTCACCAACGAGATATTTAACACAAACTGTAAATGTAACGTTTTTAACCAGTTTCATATAAATAGTTACCCAGAATGTTGTATAAGTTTGACTCTGAAAAAGAATAAATAATTTGTCTATTTATATAATTCATACAAATATAATTTGATACCACTTGATTCAAGTGCTTATCTTTTGCTCATTTCTTTACTGTTGTTAACAATGCGTATGGAACAAAACTAACAAACAGGATAGAAGGTAGGAATACATAGTGCACTATAAATTTATGAATCCAAATTTCGTTAACGAATTATCAAAATCAAT